TTTTCAAGAAGGCATCGATTAAAAAGGGCAGTAATAGTCAAGATGCATTGGGGACTAATGTGTTTAAGCATTTCATAACTAATGCCAGTAGGACCACAGGCTTTATTATTAGGTAGTTGTGAGAGGGTTTGAAGGAGTTCTTCATTGGTGATAGGAAAGTTAAGAGAATGATTTATTTTCTTAAATATTATTACATAGTAGTGCAATATTTAATATATTTGATGTGATTAAATGATTTGCACTATAATAGAACATTGAAATTTTATTTTTAATACAAATATTAATACTAACCATCTCCTGAAAACATATTATTATCTAGAAAAAGATATTTATGACCAACACCAAATATAACAGACTATATAACAATAACTAACTTAAAACATTTCTTGTGCTCTACATATATAAGACTCAACTAAGTATGTATATAAAATCTTTTTTTTATTTTTTATCTGGAATTTTTAACTGATATTACATTACACTTTTCTACACTAAATAGTTTTTGTATTGATAAGACAGTTGCTAGAGCTATTTGTGTGAATATGCTTAGTTAAGCAAAAAATTTTGTTTCTAATATTGAGTAATAGAGCCTTTGACTATATGTGTTGTGAGATTGAACATGCTCATAATTACTATTTGGTAGCCTAGTACTTTGGTGAAAGTGCTTGTTTGTTTTGCAAAATATGCTATCTAGCTATTTATTAATAATATAGTCTTTTGGTGCAGTTATAACTTTTTAAAATAGACTTAGAATTTACTGTTTCTTTTCTAAAATTTATTTTTCTTTTTACATTTATAAAAACACTATCATAAAGAGTGCAATTGTCAGACTATTATTGTCTACATAGCAAGAAGAGGAAGACCTGATAAGCTTTTCATGATTTAGTCTACTGAGCTATGAGATAAGAAATAGTTCAAATATATCTATCTCAAAACTTATATAAACATGTTATTTTTTTTATTTTGGATATGATCATTATCCTCAATGTAGGGTGTGTGTAAGGAGGAAGGTGATGAAACTTTTTAAACAACTGAACTATACCACAGAGAGTGATTGAATTTATTTACCAAAAAATAAAATTATAACCAAAATTTAATCTTACTATACTGCTATTGATGAGTAAAGTTATATTCAACCTGAACCAGATATGTATTGCATTTCAAATTTGTTAATTTGTATTGAATTACTTTTGTGTAGATAGATTAGCTATCCAGGTTACTTGTTACAAATATATATAGTTATGCAAAAAATTTCGCTTAAGTCTTTATCTCTTGATAATAAGACCTCTGACTTAGTATGTTATATCTTCAAAAAGACATAATTATCATTTCTGATGGCTTAGTACTTTGGCTTGGGTGGTTTGTTCAGTCTGCAAAAATAATCAATTAGGTGATTTAATTAGACTATATAAAATATGATTTAATCTTATTTTTTATTTTTCACTAAGTTGCATTTACTCTTATTATAACAATTGGTGCAAGTAAATCTTTCTACTATATATAACAAAATTTTTTTCAGATGAGCTCATATATTGGAATATTTTTCATATAATTCTACTATTATATATTATTAAGACTTTATTTCAAATGCACAAAAAATAAATTATGATATTTATTAAAATATATAGTTAATAAAATCTGTTAGGTCTATAAGACTCATATAATTACCAAACATACTAATAAGTATATTAAATTTTTAAATATGTCAGGTTTTGTTATTTCTACTATTATTAATAAAATAGCTAAATTGCAAAAACTCATTAATAATCATCCTAAATATAATATAAAATATGTAGAATCATATATTTACAAATATTGTGATATTAATAATTATCAATGATTCTTTGATAAACTCTTTGAAACTAAAAAACAATATGATACATTATCAGTTATTTAACTCAATGAAACTTCACAACAATAAGCTATTCGAGTCAGAGTTTTTTTATAAAAGCTAGTTTCTAAAAAGAAAAGAAGTATTTATTATGCACATGCTCTATTTCTAGCATTTGGTAAGGATAAATTTGTAGATTATGATTACTATTAACCAAGAATTCATAAAAGTTATATAGCAATTGTTGAAAATTAATTTAAGTTAATGATGAGAAGCCAAAGATGATGTATGCTAGTGCTATATATAGATATATTTAAAGACTTAAATCAGCAGATTTGATAATGCAACATTGGGATTATTCATGTAGCAAAGCTAAAACTAGAGGTGGTTCAGCAAGGATTATACAAAAAGCTTAGAGAAATTTTAGAGAGAGAGACCTATCAAATGCACAGCTTGCATAGATAGCTTACCAAATAATAATACTCCAGATGATGAAAAGTTTTTTAGGTTTAACAAGATGTAAAGTAAAAAATCCTTAGACTCGAGAACAGTTTGATTAATGGTGCACTAAATGGATTACAATGTATAAACAATATAATTTACATGCTTCTTTAGATATTTATGTTAGAAAATATGAAGAATATTATATTTTGTATAATTGGATAGATTCTAAAAAAAGTCAATTGCAGGTTAGATTTAAAAAATAACTTTTAAAAATAGAAGCATAGTATATACATATTTATTCAATTTATTAATTGCTTTATGATATAAAATATCCATACTATTTATATATTATTTTTTTGGCTATGCCAGTTCTACTAATATCTTTGAGGATATAGATAGGTAGTTGTCTACCATTTTCCTAATGCTATTCTTAAGAGTAACAAAGTTACAACTTTCTAACTCATTACAATTAAATATGCATGAAGTAAATAAAAATCTATGAAGTATATACTATAACACTATAGACTTTTTATTTTGATTTTTCAGGTTCAGAATTCATGGACTTTATAAGTAATATATTTTTTGTCTTACATTTCTGATGTAACTCTATTTCTTTCTGCAAATCTAATAGGATATCAAACCCTAACCAGATTGCAAATGAATTGTCCTCTGCTCTATTAAGATCAAATACAATAAACTTATTTTTGTGAAGATAGCTATTAATGACCATTGATGCACTTTTTACATCATCAGTATACTGACCAACAATTTTGAAAACATCTTGAGAAGAACTACCACTGTTAAACATTAATATATAAGAAAAATTCTCATGTATGATCATTAAGACATGATAGTATTTTTGCATAGTAAATATAGATGAAATATTCTGATGATCTCCATATGTGAAAAATGGAATAATTCAATTTTGTATAGACTCAGAAGCAACACATAAATCTTCAAAGATAATAACAGTACTTTTTTCAGAAAAAAATTTTATACTAGGAATTTTTTTAGGTAAGATATAACTAAACCTAATATTTTTATAATATGATGCTCTTGAATTACTTGCAATTATTTTATATATATATCTAATAAAAGCCTATTTTGGTTTATCAAAATGGTATCCACAAACTATTAAATTATTACACTGTATATATCTAGATCCACTCTTTTTCTTTTTATATATATATTTAGCTTTGTTATCAAGAACAAGATTTCTGAGTATATTAGTTTTACCTGTGCTACTTTTTTCTGTAACTAGCTTAGTAAATGGCTATGACATTGCTAGATGCCCAATACAGCATGATAAAGCATGCTTTGTAGTCTTATTAATATCTATAAGAAAAAGTTTCATTAAAGGTAATCTTGTTTTTGAGTTTTTCTGTATGACAGATTGAGAATTTATAACTCTGTTTTCTATATACTAAATAAAAATTTTCTTCCTTTTTAGTTAGACAAAAAATATTCTTGTATATATACCAAATAATTAATATCACTATTATTGCAATAATAATTTTAATAATAGAAGAAATCTGATACTTATTATTAACTAAAGCCTCACTAACACATACTGCTCCTTTTATTGTAATATCTTGAATAAATAATTCTGAGTTCTGCTTATTTGTGATAATTGGTAATGTTTTATTTTTTATATTAGATATTTCATCTGTTGAAAACTCCTGGCTAGTTAGAAAAGTATTATTTATTTATGTTTTCATTTGATTTTTATTTTTAAAATATTTTGCAAAACTTTTATCACTTTGCAATAGCTCAAAGAGTCTAGATTCAGATGTATCTTCAAAATTCGATATAAAACTTTGTTCTTTGCTTTGCTATTTTTTTCTACACCTCCTATAACTACAGAATCTAATATATCCTTTGTTTTCTGTAAAGCAGAATGTAAAGTGCCTAAATACTCAATCTCATTAATTTTTAAGGCTAATTTATTTTTTGTATTTATTAATTTATTCTTTGTATTTGCTAATTTATTCTTTATATTTGTTAATTCAGACTTGAGAAATATGATCTCAGATTCTTTTTTTACTATCCTTTCCTAAGATAAGAATGTATCTTTTTGAACTGATTCTAACTTACCTTCTAATATTTTTTTTATAGACTAAAGTACTATAATTTTTTTTAATTCTTTTTGAATTGAAAATAGTTTTGTTTCTAATATTTTTATCTTAGATTGAAAATTTTTTATTTTAATTTTAAATTTATTAAGAGAAATATCTTTGCAAGTAATCTGGAATGTTAGAGTATCTAACTTTGAATGCAATTATTTTACTTCATTTATAAGCTGATAGATATACTTAGTGAGTTTCTTTTTATCTTTATTGGATCGATTTAAATCTTATTGCATATACTTATTGTTTTTATCCAAGATAGAGCATTTATAAGCAAGTCGATTGCCACATTTTATAGCAATTTTACAATTATGATTTGCTTAATTAAGCAGTTTTTTAAGTTCAGTCTGACTGAATGGATTTTGATTAGATGGTAAGTTTTCAAGTTTATTGCCTTTACTTGGCCTTTTAGGAATATCTTTTTGAGGCATATCTAACAATATATAAATTCAAGGCATATTATATCAATAAAAAAATAAATCAAATAAGGATTAGATATTAACTGATATATCTAATCAAATATTTACAAAAATAAAAATAAATGTTAACTAAATAATCCAGATATATTAAAAGAAAATTAAATATTTACTGAACAGTTTAGATATATATCGAAACTAGATTAAAAAACTTCAAATTTATATCTAAACATTTTTTTTATTTTTTATAAATAGATCATAGCCCAAAACTCTGAAAAAACAGTTTAATATCTGCAATTTGATGCAACTCTTTTATTAGATGATAATATATAAGATATTATTAATACCAGAAATTTGATGAAACATGCATTAGAAACTATGGCTAACAAATATAAAATATTAACAAGGCATGTATATTAAATATGAAGAAAAAACTATTCACCAATAGATTTTAGAAATGTGGTATTACAACTAATTAATATAGAATCAATATCATCAACAAAGACTAACCAAAAAAAAAAAGTATAAATAATGTGAATTACTTTGAAGTTTTACCTAATGAATCAGAGAATTTGGAACAATCAAAGATTCAAAGCTCTTTTTCCTTATATGTTGTAAAAAAAAGTACTTCTTCTATAGATAATACATTAAAAAGAAAGGATAATATTAAAAAATTAATGAAAGATACTAAAAGATTAGCTTCTATTCTTTTATCTTTGTCTCAGTAAGTCAAGAACATCTTTCTGCAAGAACCTTATCTGCATTTAGAGCTATATTAAGCCACTCTTTAGTTTTTATGAGTCACTTTTCAAGTTCTTTACACTTTTTTTTAAATCATTCTTACTAGTCAGACTAGAAGAAATTTGGGCTAAATTATTCAGAAAGGATTCCTAAGGAACTATCTTCTGCTTTTCTTTTGGTAGATCTTTAGCTACTGGAGCTTTGTTATATGTTGGAATGACATAGGTCTTTCCATGTAACTTTATATGAAACTGGTTTTTATTTGGCTTAGTGATGTCTTGAAGCTTTCAAATATTTGACATACCTAAAAATAGTATTAGTACAGGTTTGCTATTATCAATATGAACAAAATTTCTAATAATTGTAACAGTCTTGTTTTCTTTATCTTTCAAAGTAACTGGCACATCTGTGTACTATCCTAATGAATTAGTAATATGTTTAGAATTTCTCTTTATAGCAAAATCAGATGGCTCATCAATCTTTCATCCAAGTGCATGAATTGCTAAATTATTTATTGCACAGAATTCACTTCTGGTATCTAAGAAAGAATTAAGAATTGTTAGATTATTTATATTACAATGCAAGTACTATAAAGATGAAAACCACTTATTTGATTTTTTTGACTCCTTTTCAAAAGCCTTTTGGAACAAGCATATTTTTCAAATTGGTAGTAAAAACTTAGACAATAGCTGATTATATGTTTTAGGCTGGTTATTTTTTATTAGTACCTGTTTTTTTTTACAGATGAACCATATATAGTCTATCTATTATTTTCTTTATTATAACTATTTTTCTCATTATCTGAATCTAAGGGTATGTTTTAGAAATTTATAAATATAAGAGGCTTAAAATAAGCAGACTGATTAAAATTAGATCATGCTATCTGTCTATTAGAACAACTACTATTACAAAGTAAATTTTAGCATAGTATATTATATAGTAGTATTAGTAATTATTATTTTTTTTTTTTAAGTTAAAGTCTCTATCTTGGAAGTTGTGATGTTTTTATTCAAGTATATTAGGACATGGCATGCCACCAGGGGCTTACCTTACATTGGGGGTTACAACTAGCCACACGTGCACTTTTGGTGCCTAATTTAAGTAGTCTACTTACACATTACTATATAAGTTCTACACTAGTTGCCATACTTGCAAGCCAACTAGGGGTCTTGCCTATTTAAATTCTCTGCATATGCAGTCCTTCTTGTATCACAGAAACATCTCAAGGTGCTGCCCATCCAAGTTTTCGATGCTTATCGGTATCCTTAGAACCACTTTATCCTTGATAGGAAACTTACTAGAGCCTTTATGTTCTACATATATAGACCTAGTTTTATGTAACATGTTATAGTTACCTAACACTTGCAGTCACAAGTGTTACCTGTTTGACTATTATATTATACTATTTTTATCCTTGTAAAGTTCACTAGAACCCCAGTACCCATCTTTCTAGCATCTTCTCCATCATCTCCTACTAGCCACAACTCAGAACCGTCAGTCTCATTCCAAACTACTAATCCAGATGGCCTGGTATAATATACTTCTGTATTCTTTTTCTCTGGCAAACCCAGTGGCCTGGTTGGTTATGTGCTCCTCTACACATATTTGCCATCTGGTTTTAATCTTTGGTTCCTATAAAGGTGTTTCATGAGCTTCAACCAGTCTGATGGTACCATCGAAAGTTTATGCTATCTTTTTACTTGGAAATTTTCAAGTGGGTTTCTGTCACCTCGGTTTCTTAGTCTTCTATACCTGGTGGTCTTATCGTAGGTTTGTACTGAAGTCTTATGCAACACCAGTAAACATTCCTCTATGTATATATAACGGACATTTTGCATAGATGCCTGAGCTCCCAATGTTGGGGGGATCCAACTTGGTGTACCTGGGTAACAGCCACATGAGGCCAACCGATCGACAGAAGACAGTTATCATAATACAAATATAATTTCCAAATTTTGTTATAGGTGGGATTTGAACCTTAGAGCTGCCACTTGGAGAATGACAACTCAACCACTATACTAGGATTGCCATCCCCAGTATTAGTAATTATATATATTCATTATTGTATTTTATATTATATTTATTATTAGTTATTAGTTAATCGATAGTTATTTTATATAGTAGATAGATAAAAGAATCTTAATTAGCTATTAGAAATATGGTACAGCCACATGACACTAAGTAACATTTATGATGTTACTATTGTCTTACAAACTTCAAGTACCTCTATACAAGTTTTATGTATTCTAACATCAAATTACTGTGCCAAGTGCTGCAGTACAAGAATTTCAAGTATCTCTGACATGAACTCCAAGTGTTCTCACATGAACTCCAAGTAACTTTGCACAAATTCCAAGTGCCTTTGCATGAATCTAAGTGCCTAAACACAAGCTCCAAGTGTTTTAAGTATGAATAACAAATGATATAAACAATATCTCTAGTCACCTCTGCACAATCCCTACTACCCTAAATACAGTATTATTTATTATTGTTCGAACCTCTACTATCCCAAGTACAATAATATCTAATGTTGTTCAAACTCCTATTACTTTGAGTACAGTAATTAAGTAATGTTAATTGAATCCCCACTATTTCTGCTAAGTAAAAAGATATATAAAAAGTAGCTTTTACCCTTTTCTGCCAATTCTAAGTTCCTATATTTCAATCTAAACCCTTCTACCTTTACCTCTAACTTGTAAAAGTGATAGTCCTTCTTTAGGGTAATTTCTACAGACAAGGTTGTTACTATGTGTTTATTTAATAAAAGTTAATCTATATACTGTTACTATCTTGAACTATTTGCCTGCTGCTGTATAGTAAAGTGAACTACTACATCTCTATCTATATATATTTGCAATAATAATCACTGTACTAGGTAATCTTATTACTTGGTTGTATTGTACCAAAAAGACTACAACTCTGTAACATTTTGGTGCCTTTTGGTGAAAATATAAAATTTATTCTAGAAAAGAAACAGAAACTTCTCTTAAGGAAACTACTCCAAAAAGCAATTCTCTCTCTAGGAAAGTAAAAGTAGCAATTGTGAAAAAGCATTTTGAAATTTTGGAATTATTATTTTAGATATACCTCTACTAACTCAAATTGAATTGAATTATTTTGTATTTTGCATTTGTATTTTGTATTTTGGAATTGAAGAAGTTTATGCTTTTATCTTCTATCTTTGAATTTTTGATTTTAAAACAATTTTGATTTTGATTTTGATTTTTAATTTTATATTACTTACCAGCTGATGAATATATTTTGAATTGTTAAACTTTTGATTAATTACTTGAATTCTTTACTTGCTAGCACTATTATTTTAAATTTATTCTCTTGATTTTATTATTTTATTTTATTATTTTATTACTTATTAGTACTAACTCTTTTCAAAGAAATTTATTTTATGAAAAATTTTCTCACTCAATTTTATTTAGAAAATATTCAAAAACATTAACAGATTCATAGTAAAAACCCTTCTTTCATTACAACTATATTGCAAACTCTTGCAATTAATTTATCTTGCCTACAGTATTATTTACCTTCTGACCTTTGTAAATGCTTTGCTGCATTTTGAACTTGGTATTTTGAAAACTACCAAGCTATTTCCTTTAGTAAAGTTACTCATTCCAACTTTTTAAAATTAGCTATTGCTGAACATCCAGCTGCCTGAGTTTTAGCTAGAAATATTATTTTTAGTTATCATTATTAAAACCAGATAGCTAACTCTTGAGATATTGTACAAACCATCTTTTGAGAATATACTTCTCATT